ATCTGTAATATATACAAAACTCTGTGACAAGTATTTAGACGAATGATTCTAATGAGTCATTGGTTCATTAAATATCAACTCACCTTGATGAGGGAGTCCACCATTGCTTTTCCTTCTTGCAGTGACTGTGCTGAAGTTCCATCATCAGCGACCTTGTTGTTGGACAGTGGCATTGGGTTATGTTTTCTAAGGAAACAAGGGTGAATCCCTGTTCTAAAAGTTAGCGCCTGCCTTCAAACTGAACAATGCGTATACACCCTTCGTCTTAGCTGGAGTAAACTACAGTCCATATTTGAGCTGACTGTCCTGTCTGACCCGGTGACCAAAACTAAAAATATCAGTTGTCATCCAACAAGGATAAAAATCTAAGAAAGTAAAATAAAAATTTCAGGTTTCCAAAAAAGAAGAAAAAAACCGAGAGGCATGGAGGATTGTGATGTCAAAGTGGAGTGTGATAATCCGAATGACTGACCCCTTTGCACTGAGGTCGTGTGGTTAAGCTCATTATTTGCTGCTGAGAGGTGCGGAGATTCTGTGGCCTGGGAACACGTCACTACCTCCTCCTGGAGCCCCCTCTCTTTCTCCCATCACTCTCTCTTTCTTCTCTCTCCTTTCTATTTCTCTGTGCGTGTGCCTGAATGACAGGACAGGCCCTGCGGGGCAGGTTGTGCTCCAGTGTTTTGTTTGCTGCAGTTATTGTGTCAGTTTTTCAACACATCGCTTGTTTGTTACAAACCTACAAACAATAACTACAATAATCAAACCTAAAATTTGAACCCAAATAAATGTAAATGAATATAAATAATATATTTATATCAAACTGGACTAGTCTCCTCTGTCTCAGGTCAAATTAGATTAGGGCCATGTTAAATTAATCCCTGAAATATATCTGCTGGATTGGTCTGGTTATCCCATCTTAACCATGACTGTACAGACCATACAGGTGCAAATCCTTTTTCGACTATCATATATGGATATAGTTTTGGAGGATATATGAATTAATTTGACAAAAGATACACAGACAGGAATATGAGAAGCAACTTTATTTATAACAGTCTTTGTTTTGATATTTCTCTAATAACATCTAGTCTTATCGTTTAAATCTCTAACTGAGAGATTATAAATCAGATTCTCTTGGCATTTAACATTGGTAGTTTGGTAGTCTTGTTAGCTGTAAACAATCAGTAGATTATCAAAGTTTGATATTAAAATTAGAGTTTAATGTCATGTTCAGTTTTAATCATGGAATAACTAACCCAATGGACAGTTTAATTATAATGAAAATGACATGTTTAATAAGCATAGGCCTACATAATGTAATACATACACTGAATCATTTGTTTTATCATTCAACATGAGGGCTATTGCATAGAGCAGCATTGAAGTATTGTCTTTACGGCGATAAATTAAAATATTTTTTTTTTCTTGTCCATTTACACAAGTACATTTACCTGTGAGACAAGATTGTTTACATTTATTCTTTCTTTTATTTGTAAAAAAACAATTCAGCGCTTACACCTGTGAGGTCATAAATTGCAGTTAATTTTATTCATGTTTTGTTCCATTTGTGATATACTACAATGGTAGTTCAACAAATATTATAGTGTCATTTCATTAGGGTTGACTGTTAAACGAGCTGTTTTCCAGTTGACGTCACTTGCCTGTTATCTGAGGAGAAAATAGTTGAACAATTTTAACAACTTTTCACAAACAACAGTCAAAAATCAATGCATTTTAATGTAGCTATTACATAATAGATTAGTAAGTATGAAACATGGCATACCACTTAAGTATCTTGAGCTACCAATAGTGTGTCGTTTTTTTGCCATTCATTCTGATGGAAAAAAAGTGAAACACTTCACTATAGGGCTCTTTATAAACAAGTCCTTACACATATATGACTCATTCCAGAGTAATTCCACAATTACTGCCTTTAACATGAACTGGCAGAACTGCATTAATAGAATGAAACCTTGTGACTCCATCTAGAGGCTGACAGACTGAGAGTCCTCTTTAAAAAATGCTTGTTAAAACAAAAAAAGCCCTCGCCCCCAATGTTAGTTCTTACAACAAATAAAAGTAAAAGTTAGCCTTTTGTTACCATTTAATCATACCCATGTCGTTCCAAATATGCTGTTATTTTTTTTTTTTTTACATGTGTCAATGTAGCCTTCAAACACTTTTTATGTTAAAAACATTGATTTGGGAATGACATGAGTTAAGTAAATGATGACAGTCGAAAGTCTACATAATTTGATCAGAAATGTCGGAAAATAAAAAGGAAAATAATTCGATTAAAGGAGAACTTTATATCCCCAGGCTTCCATTTAGAAAGATACAAAGCTGTCTTGTGTAAAGGATAGATCTATGAGTAATCAAAATTTTCATTCATGAGAAATGAAGTCACTGAAGGGTACCTCTGCACGGTTCGACAAAATGATCCTCTCCAAAGTACTTTTGGTTTCATTTAAAAATGTATGGTTGGTCATCTGTTATGGATGGAAATCAGTAGACTGCATATTAAAAGTATGAAAAAGTATTGACATTTATTCAAAGCCTTTAAAGCTGTATATTTTACTGGTGAGATTTACAGTATGATAGTAGCATTGCCTCAAATATAAGTCTGTTTAAAGCAAAAACACTTACCTCCTCGTATTTACTTCCATTAACAAGGACATTGCTTGAAGGACCTTGCACTACAGGACCTTGCTGTGAATATGATTGAGGCAAGAAATGTGGTTTATTGTTTTAAACAGCAGCTATGCTATCATGTAGAATGTTAAAAGTTAAAATAATACAAAAGTAATTCATATGTTTTAGGAATATTCATTCTTTTGTCATTTCACTCTGCATTTACAGTAGGAATACTTGTTCTATAGGCACAAAAGCGCTATTGCTTGCTTTAAATTAAGACTCTTGAAGGCATGCACCAACCAACCGTCTCATTTGGTTTGTGTGATAAAAATGTGAAGTCATTCGCAGTATCCCCATTCCTGGCTGATCTCTGTGTAAAATTATAGGATTATTAGTAGTATTAATAGTTAGTAGCCTAGTGAATAGAAGAAAAAATTATATATATATATATATATATATATATGCCATTTGACAAAATAACCTCAATAAAAGTTAATCTAGGCTGATTGAAAAGGCTAAAAAATATGTATCTTACTGGTCAGTGACTATTTATTTTCATCGTCAAATCATTTTAAAATACATAAATAGAAAGACATACACTATAATAGGCCTAACTTTTTAAATAACTGCAAATATTTTTAGGAGTGTCTGATTAATATATTATATTTACATACCTTGTGTGCTTCGAGTGTTACCAAACAGGCACACAGAACACAGATGTACAATTCTGTTTTCATTCTCAGCGAGTTGTTTAAAATGTCAGACCTTGGGGTAGGCTACTTTTAACCAGGGAAGAACAAGCTGACGGTCATTCAACTGCACAGCCCAATCAAACTGCTAGAACAATCAGGGGAGGGGGTGGAGGGAGAGTCTCTTGACTCTCAAAAATACTTTCTAAACACCACCGAAATGCGTTTGCAGCTTTGAAATATCCATGAATGTTCCAGTTAATGTCGCAGCTAGGGCCATGCTATGGGCCTAATATCGACCATATAAGACTACAGGCAATAGACCATTTAGCAAGATGTAAACAACACTGGTCCAGAAACACTTCCTGTTTCAGTTTGTAACTGTTTTCTTTAGGCCTATTTCACATGTAAAGAAAACATCTTAAAGTTTGTTTAACTCTTTGATTCAGTTTTATATGTTCTGTTGGTTGTATTTTATTCCAGCCTTTATGTAGTGTTAAAAAACTGAAACAGGAAGTGCTTCTGGAACAGTGTTGTTTACATCTTGTGAAATGTTTACATCTTGTGAAATGGGACCATTTCACAAGATGTAAACAACACTGGTCCAGAAGCACTTCCTGTTTCAGTTTGTAACTGTTTTTTTTTATTTCACATGTAAAGAAAAGATCTTAAATATGTTTGTTTAACTTTTTGATTCAGTTTTAAATGTTCTGTTGGTTGTATTTTATCCCAGCTTTTTGTAGTGTTAAAAAACTGAAACAGGAAGTGCTTCTGGACCAGTGTTGTTTACATCTTGTTGTATTCTTACTGAAAGTAACTTTTAAACTTTGTTAGTTTTCTTTTGATTCTCAAATGTTGAGTGAGGAGCTTTGCAAATGATTATCGCATAAAGTCGTTAGAGGTGGACACCAGTGGTCAAACTTAGACCTAACTTTGTGTATATGAAAAAGAAATAATGTATAGGCCTACTTGGATAGTTTGTGTGACGTGTCTAAAAATAGTTCCGTTCACATAGGCTTAAAGCCTACTGGTTTTCCGGGAATGCGGTTATTATGAGTCCTGGAAATAGGGGTCCTGGAAATATAGGGGTGCGAATTCGGTTAGAATGCGCACTGTTACTCCCGCAAAAAACCGAACAGTGTGTGATTGTGACCACGATGACTCAGATACAGGTTTAATAAAGGTAACCAGAAGTGCTGCGCAACTCATAGTGCGAGGCTGGAGCATTGTCATGACGACGGTATCAACATGAACTAGCAATTTCCAACAACAGCTAGGCTATGCTATGTGTTGTGCTATCGCACAGGATACACAGGTGAGTTTCGAGAGCACAAAGTTTACTCTTGATTCAAGATTTGATATTCAAAACGCACACGTATGTCATTTGGTGGCCTATTCAAAATAACTTTGTTGTCGTGCTGAATGTGACAGAAAACGTTACTCTACATTGCAGGAATCATGAGTTCACAGGGCTCCCCAGTAAAGGTGTATATTCGCATTCGACCCACAGCCAATTTTGCGCACGAGCTTATTGAATGCCTACCTGACCAGCAGGTAAACTTATGCAATGTGCCAACATTTATCTTTTGTCTAAACTTTCTTAATTGTTAAATTACGTTAACTTATCTGTGAAGTTGGTCTTCTATGATGGCTACAGAGGACATCCATGATGGCTTATTAGCCTATACCTTCTGTATTTTTATTGCTTTAACGCAAAACAAAACATGCCAAAATCAAAATAAACACAAAACATACAATTCCAACCAATCTAAATAGCTGCAAAAACATTACTATTAAAAATTATTAAAAAAAAGCTAAGACAGAAAAATATTAGTGGCATAAACTTTTAAGAAGAACAAGATGATTAAAAAAAAAAAAATCAGCATTTTTGTCTGAAAACCAAAAATACATATTTTATAGTTTTGAAGTCAAAGTCAGGTATTTCATGTCAAATTTAGCCAAACATGAAGGTCATTAAAAATGTACATATAAATACCATTCAAATATGCTTTTAAAACATTATTATTACAACTTTCCTCCAGAAATGTACCAGAAATGATTTAATTACTTTTGGGGATCATAGGTGAATAACACAATGCACCTTTAACCAACTGAGCCAAACGTATGCATAAAACAGATTGAATGATGCTAATGTTTAAGAATGCTTTCACCTGTCGCTCTCTTTATCTCTGAGACTTTGAGAGTATGGTCCAAGAAAGGAAAGAGGAACAATCATCAGAGCTCACGGTTATTTCAGCTGAATGGAGTGCTGCACAATGCGTCACAAGAGGACATCTATGATGGTGTAGCCCGGAGTGTGGTGCTGGGAACCTTTGGGGGCTACAATGGTTGGTCATTCAAATGCATATGTATCATATCTGAAATCACAAGCATTTACAGAGGTGGTTTCTACTTTGAAACAAAAAGTTTAGGAAAGCCATTTGTGTGTTTAGGTACAATAATATGCTTTGGGCAAACTGGAGCGGGGAAAACATACACTATGACAGGTGCTGCAGAGACTTACAAGCAGAGAGGCATCATTCCTCGAGCCCTACAGGAGGTGATCGAGACCCATGAAAAAGAAGCACATAGTCAATGTCTCAGCTCTTATGGCTAATAAACCATCTCTTAATTCCTCAGATTTTCCAGGAGGTGGCGGATCGCGTAGATCATACATTCTCTGTTCACCTTTCTTTTCTGGAAATCTATAATGAGACAATAGTAGACTTGCTCTCCAGCGTAAAGCATGGAAAAGGTTCACATAGTGGAGTCCTAACTGTGGTAGAAGAACCAGGAGGTGGAGTCTCAGTCAAAGGATTGTCTTTACATCTGGTTCACAATGAAGAGGAGGCTCTTAACCTGCTTTTTGAGGTAAGAAGTAAAGTCACAAGGTCATTGATCAGCTTTTTTTTAAAAAAACAAAACAAAACATGAATACATAATTATTTCAGAAAAAGGTCTATTTCCATCCAGTAAACAGAATTCTTATCAGGTTGTGTTTGCTCTGTTAAGGGCAAAGGTTTGCTCTTATATTTCATCATAGCTGTTGACAAATGGGTTAATGACAAACAATACGATATAACCACCACCAGAGAATCTCCATTAAAGACCTATTACTTATTAAAGAATGGCAAAAACTTTAATGTTTGCCCACATGGGCAAAAGCAACTGCTAAACATTCAGAATTGGATTTTCATATTTGCATTACAGATTTAGACAAAATAGGCACATCTCATCTGTGATAAATAACACTGATCTCACTGTGCTGACAGGGGGAGATGAACAAAATTATTGGAGAACATGCCCTGAATAAACATTCCTCCAGGTCTCACTGCATATTTACCGTCCACATTGAGGTAAGTGCCTGAAATGTATTGCACATAAGATAAAAAAATTGAGTAGACTGGCCTTTTTACATATGGAGGTATTTTTTGCATATGTGGTCATGTGTGGCATAGTCTCGCTCTCGCACACTGTCAGAAGCAAAATACATCACCTCTAAACTGAACCTGGTGGACCTGGCAGGATCTGAGAGACTTAGCAAAACTGGGGTCAGTTCATTTCTCTTCTCATTATTACAGTTCTGCCTCAGTTTAGAGGCACGCTCCTCAAATGCATACAATTTCCAATTTTGTCACTCTACTTTTTGTCTTTTACTCCAGTCAGAGGGTCAAGTCCAAATGGAGGCAATGTATATCAACAAGTCCCTTTCTTTCCTGGAGCAGGTCATCTTGGCTCTAGCCGACAGTCGTAGGGAACATGTTCCCTTTAGACAGTGCAAACTTACACATGCTCTCAAAGACTCACTTGGTTAGTGCGCTAAACAATTATCACAAGTTATCCCAAAGAAGTTTACCAACAAACCAACATTTGAGATAGCTTTAAGGATTCAGCCTCAGAACCTCAGCATGTAAACATTCATTTTGAACATTGGGAAAATCTTCTTTTATGAAAAAAATAATGTAACATTGAAAGGGAGTCAGGACATATGTAAGCTAATGATTTATCTTTGGCTCAACTGTACCTACACAGGAGGAAACTGTAACACAGTGCTTGTGGCAAACATATATGGTGAAGGGACACAAATTGAAGAGACGGTGAGATGTTTTTATTATGAATCCAGTGAGACATGTCTGTTAAGTCTAGAAAACCCACACAACTGCTTTGTTTTTGTTTTTTTGTTCTTTTGGCAGCTTTCAACTCTTCGCTTTGCCACCAGAATGAAATGTGTGAAGACAAAGCCATTAATCAATGAACATGTCGACCCTGTTGTAAGATTTTGTTCATGTATTACAAAGCTAATCCTCTTATAATATATCTAAAAAAAAATCATCTGCACATTCAACTAATGTCTAACAGAAAGTCTTTTCATATGATGGTTAAAACCATGTGAATGTTTGCCAAGCTTCAGGTGCAAAGACTAGAAAAAGAAATTCAGTTTCTCAAGGAGGAGCTGTCTATGTGTAACAAACTGGTGAGTACAAACACGTGCACATTCAGAATCTGTGCCTTTTACTCACAACACAATTACCACATCAACACATGAAAGCCGCATTCTGGTTTCCCAAGCTTTGACTTTGGGCTACATGGTTATTTAGTGTCTTCCTAACTCATAGTCTAATCGAGTTTCTAATGAGGTCCTGTCAGAAACCCAGGTTGAGGAAGTGAGAAGTCAGGTGCAGAGATACCTGTCCGGATCACTGGTTGAGATTCCGGTAAACACCATAGTTTATACATCAGTGCTTCAAATATGTAAGTTTATCTTTTCTTGAATTAATCTCATTTTTGTCAGAACTGAATAAACGATTTAATGTTTCAGATTGTAAGCATTGCACAAATCCAAGAGGTGTTTGCCCAGTTCAAAAAAAGTGGTATTGTAAGTCCAGTTACCTCTTCATCAAAAATTGAACATATTTAAAATAGAGGTCAATACAATTATGTTTGAATGTATTTATGTATTAAATAGGGAGCAGCAAACAAAATTGCGAGAGCAACTCTGTCCGAGAAATGCTCGTGTAGAGAAAGCCATGAACACAACACCATTTACTGTTGCAGAGGTTAGTGCTATACGGATATTCAGTAGACAACAATACTTCAGTAAGAACAGAAAAGGATGCCACATGCCTCATGAATTTTGCTACAGGCGCTGGAGTCTGTTTGTGCTGTTGGAAAGGTGGAGAGTTTTGGATATGGCTTAGGTTTAGCTGAACCTTCACGGAGACATCGACGAGAAGCGTCACCTAAACCAAGTAAAGGAAGAAAAGACAAACAGATCAGCAGGTGACATTATTTCCCTAATGTTTGATGCCTGATGTGACAAATTTGAGCAAATAACGAAGCATTTAGAGATTAGAGTCTTATGGCTGGAATACATTGCACAACTTTTTAAATCTGAACAGAATTATTAGGAAACATGCAGGAACTAAGCATCATACACTTGCCGACTTAGGAAAAAATAGAGAGGAAAAACTAGGCATGATTGAGGATCACACACTACCAGAACACAAGAAAATCACACAGAAACTCAAAATCTGCAGACTGCGTTGACTTTAAGCAACTACCTTTAGTCAGCTCTTTTCTTTGTCAATAGACATCTAGACATGATGAAAGCTTTGTGAAATGGAAGATGATTGAAAATGACAAAAATAATACATGACAATCGTATTTGACAAATTTGTCATTCTAAAAATAATTTACACTTAAAGGCCATTACAGTAAATCATGTTCAAGAAATCATCCTCGACTCCATATGCATGTATTTGTAAAAACCAAAACCTCACCATAAACTACAAGAGCAAACACTAACCAAATTTAGATTACCAGGCTGTAAATTGTGCTTCAAATCTGATCTTGAACAGAAAGGAAGGAGCATTGAGCCAATGGCCTGTGGAAAACACAACTGTAGAAGCCGCACAGCCTCTAAACATGAGTGAATCTGACGTGACCACACAAGAGCCCCAACGACAAGATCCAGAACAACAACACAGAACTGAGTAAGTTCCTTACACTGTACATACATCGGCAGTCCAGAAGCACTTCCTGTTTACAACCAACAGAACATTTAAAACTGAATCAAAAAGTTAAACAAACATCTTTAAGATGTTTTCTTTGCATGTGAAATAAAGAAAACAGTTACAAACTGAAACAGGAAGTGTTTTGGACCAGTGTTGTTTACATCTTGTGAAATGGTCTATAAGCTTGAGGAGACCTCTGCTGGCAGCTACCAAGTACCGCAGTTACTAATGAAAATGAACGTCAGCTTACATTAATATTAAACTTACTTTCTCAGCTCTCCTCCATCCAAAGCGGAGGCATTTGAAGATTTCAAAGCAGAACGGGGAAGTGAGATTAACCGCATACTAAAGGAGAACAAGGCTGTGCTGTTGGACCGCACGTCCCAATTACGCACACTCACCGATGTCATCAATGTGACTAAACGGGATCTTGACAACATTGCATATGAACTACAACAGTTCAGAGAGCGAAGAAAAAGCCAGGGTGAGCATTATATGATGTAAAAATGAGATGTAGTAATCATATGAAGCTGAAGCCATTGGTTTTATAGGTCAGTTTGTGAGTGCGGAGGGGGAGCCTGTGATGGAAGAGGCTGAACTGTCTCTATTGATGCAGCTAAAAAAGCTAAAGAACCGTTATAGACAAGCCTGAGGACCTCAGATGCACAAAGACAGAAGTCAGCTACTGTCAGCACCTGGTGAATCAGTGCCGCACACGACTACTAACAGGTGACTTCCCTTAGTTCTCTACACAACATGTAGTTCCTCTTGTTTCTAGGCTTCTCTTTTTTTGGTTTGAATGTCTAAACCTCCACCAATTTAGATAGCTAGTTGTAATCTATGATCGTCAACATTTTTTTGTACAAAATTTACTTCCCTCATCTATCTAAATGTTACAGTTGTACTTACCAGAACTCACTTATGTTTATCCTTCTCTAAAATCAGTTTTACGCTTCTGTTTTGTGCTTGCCAGAGTTTGAGAGCTGGTACAATGAGTCTTTCCTGTTGCCGGATGAAGTGCTGTCAGTCTTGGAGGCTGGACCAGTTAGGCCAGGTCACATACCTGTGGACAAAGCTTTAGCTCTGGTCAGTAAGAGTCACACATGTGCTCATGAAGGCCATTACACTTGAGACCTGAGTGGTTAAGGAGTGTACTTTTTTTTAAAATACATTTTATTCAGATATGCAATAAATTTATCAAGAGATTTACATTGTTACAAAAATTTAGTTATCAAATAAATGTTCTTTTAAACTTTATATTAATCTAAAGTATTGCAGTTTCCACAAAAAATATTAAGCAACTGTTTTCAACATTGATAATGACATTAAATGTTTCTTGAGCAGCAAATCAGCATATAATGATTTCTGAAGGATCATGTGACACTAAAGACTGTAGTAATGATGCTGAAAATTCTATTTAAAAATATATTCAAACAGAAAACAGTTTTAAAAAAGGAAAAATATTTCACAACATTGTTTTACTGTATATTTTTGATTAAATAAATACAGCCTTAGTGAGCATAAGAGACTAAACATCTAAAACACACACACACACAAAACACAGACCCCAAACATTTAAATGGTAATAGATAAACATTTAAATGACACTACTCATTTTTATCTGATTACATAA